AGGACTACATTTACTGATAGTTATAATTGGCTTAAATTTAAAATAACTAGATAAATACAAGAGAAAAAATCAATATTCAGGTGGCTGATGTAATTCTAAGACAATGACCTTGTTTTGTCAGGAGCCTCAACCTAGTTTCTTAAAAGAGTAAAATATTTTACTTTTGTTGATTATCATTTATACAATCACTCATTAGCCAAGCACAAAAGAAAAATGTGTATGTTTCTTTTAATTCTACAAGATCAATAACAATGATACAAATTATTAATCAACCTTTGATGATTTATTCTTTATGCCATTGGCTATTATATGTAAAATCCTCTGAACTAACTTGCTCAATAATTAGCTTTCCTCGTTTGTTTTCATTTTCTCTCCTGATTATGAAGCCTCTCATCATCTTCAACAATAGCAATAAACATTTTTTGATCAGCTTCTAACTGCAAGGCCTGTGTCAGACCCTGAAGATGCAAAGATATAATATCATCCCTCGGAGAGTTCATGATAGTCCTGATAAAAAAAAAAAAAACTAAATACATGAAAATACAAAGCAATATAAAAGTGGCAAGTGGGCGTTCTTAATAGTAACACGTGACTGTGATAGAGGAAGGTTCCCATGACCAAGGAGACGGGACTGAATCTGGGACTTACTGCAAAATGAGTAGAATCTAGTTAATAATGAAATCGACATCAATTTATTAAAAACAATGAAGAAAGAGTTTGGGCATTCTGGACAAAAGAAACACGCTGAGAAAACAATAGATTACAAGAAAGATGCTGTGAAACCAAAAGCAATCCAGCAGACAAGAAGGGGAGCACGCAGGCACTGCCTTCTCAAGAATTAAGGATATTTATCACTTGGGATGATATTCATGTGGCCTCACCAGCTTCCGGAACAGCTCCGCTCTTAACGTTTGAACAATTTATTGCCTAATTATTTCTTTTGCCCTTTTGAAGAGTCTCTCTGCAGGACACTTTTTGAGAGTGAGAGTACAAAAACTGGGCCCATGGAAAGTCATCTCCCCATTGCATTAAAAGCAAAATAACCTTTTACCAAATGCTTTGTGACCATTTCGAATATTGAATTTGTATTTTAATCATGGAGTTCAACAGGAATATAGCCAGTGGGAAGGACCTAATTACAAATGATGTTTTTCTCATGGCTATGCCCACAATCCCAAGGGATGCTTTAACGAAGTTCTGAGCCCTCAGACAGGAAAGGTCAAATGGCTCTCCTCCCCCGGCACCTCAAAGTGCACAGAGCTGCACCCTTATCCTAGCAGATGTTCAACCAGGTATAACATTAGCCTGAGGCAAAAATTCCAGGAAACACATCTCCCAGGGAAGGAGTTCTCTGGAATTCAGTGGATAATACAGCAGTCTCTTTCGGAGTTTGAAGCGGAGATGAATTTAGATAATCTCCATTTGAATATAAATGTATATTTCATTAGAAGCATAATATGCCAGCAAGAATACCATTCTGCTTATGAATTTATTATGTATAAAAGATTCATGATATTTTAGATCGATATTTTTTAAACGTTGAAAATGTTCCTGCTATTTTATACTATGCACATATTTAAGTTTATATTAGGTTAAGCCAGGTGAAATTGCCTTTTTTGGTAGGTCAAAAATGGTTGAATATTCCATTTCATCTGGCTCAAACTGATCACTCAAACTGTCTTACAATTAACAAAATAATGGAATGTTACATTTTATAACACCATTCTGACCTAATTTTCATTCTTAAAAAATACTTTTGCATTATGCTAGACAAGATCTTTTCATAATGTGCATATACACATATACAGCTATCTATACCCATTAGCTCTAAGTCTGTGTCTGCTTTCCCAGAACTAGCCTTGACTTTTAGGCTTTTTATCTGTAGCACAAGTCAGGTAATGTAACGTAGAACCTGACATGAATTTGAACCACATAAGTCATTTTAAAAATTAACATTGAAGAAAATATTTGGTTTTTCTTGAAACTTAACAAAGCTGGTCTCCTTGCCTTCTCCAAAACAAGAACACAAACAAAAACTCCTCAACATGCAATGAAAGCCATGAGTTTCCACATCAATTACTAATATTAACAATTAGAGGGAATCTTCATGTACAGAACACTTTTTTGATATGATTTTCCTTTAAAAAGATATTTGCGTTTTCTATTTTTTTATATAACTTACACCTGTGTAAAACATTTAGTCATAAGAATAGAACCTTATTTATTTATTTATTTACTTGATTTTTTTTTTTTTTTTTTTTTTTACCAAAGCTTATTATAATGAGTTTGCCCTGATGGGTAATGATAATGACTTATCAATGAAATGCATACCTCTATAAAGCACTATTTAACTGAATGTTAAACACAAAAGTCTTTTTAACAGACTCTTAAAGCTAATTCCAACGTAAATTTTAAGTATTTAGTAAACCAAGTGAACCTAGAAATGAATATAAATATAGATAATGCCAATTAAATTGCCTGAATAACATTTAAAACACATTATTGACAGGTTAAGGGTTTGTGATTAAAAATACTGGAGATATCTTAACAAAGACTAGTAACTAGGCAACTGGAAAGGGGAGGTAGGAAATAGGATGGGGAAGGATTGACAGATAACTCTGTCAGGAACAGCAGAGGTAAGTAGCTGTCATTATTTCTGGAAGCCTCTCTCAAATGGTGGGGAAATGGAAAAAAAATTCTAGTGTAATTCACTGTGGTCTGACTACATTGCAAAACAGATGGTCTTGTGTGGCTAATAAACAATTTCTGAAGAGAATGCATTATGTTCTCTTAATGGTCTCCTGGAATAAGTATATGGAGCAGACCACAAAATAAGGAAGCATCATGGGCCAGCTGATCTGATTTGCTCCTCAGGCTCCCAAAATTAGGTTTTTAAGCTGAGGGAACAAGATCAGTATTTAAGCTATCTTTATATGATTTCACAGCCACACACCCACACCACCAGCCTCACCACCTTTATGGAGCTTTAATATAAAAATTGTAGGATATCTGTTTTTAAGTCTAATTCCCTTATGTTCCTTAAAATGCGTACAAGAAATTTACAAATTTACAAGAAATGGCATAAAAACTCTTTTCAGAGTTGAAAAGCAGAGATGTATCTTATTTTTATTGGCAGTTAATGTGGGGACCTACAGTATAACAGCTGTCTCAATAGCCATGAAATTAACGACATAAAATTGCACAACCTTCAGTGGCCTGTTCCCGTGGGGAGAAACAGAAAGAAATGAAAAGAGCGCCTTGCCCAGGTTTTCGAATTACAAGAAAGGTGTTGAATTGACTGTTGGAGGATTCATTTTTAATGATTTCATTTCGAATATAACTGTCTTCATTTAGTGAGGGTTTGTGGGCGTTTGGTGTGTCTTTGGAATAAAATCTTTCCAAGAGGTAAGAGGCACGTGTTAATTTACCAAAGATCCGAATGGCAAGGGCGAGCCTGGGAGCAAGAGCTGGTGAAATAAATATGTCAGGGAAAAGCTGGAAGGGAGCCTTTTTTTCCTTTTTTGAGATCTCTTTCCCGCCTCACTCCGAAAAGGAAGCCACCACCGCGGGTTAGGCTTTATCTCTAAGACAATAGCGCCGCTCGCCGCCTCCCGCGCCGCTTGGTCCGCGCGCCCTGCCCTCCCGTGCCCCTGCCCCACCTGTCCCCTGCCCTGCTAGCTCATCTGCCCCACGAGTCTGCAGCCCAACTGGCGTCCCTGCCTCACTGATCCCCAAGTCTCGCCTGCGTTCCTGTCCCACTGATGCCCCTACCCGACTAGCTCATCTGCCCGCGAGTCCTGCCCCACCAATCCCTCTGCTCCATCACTCCTCTGGCCCGCCAGACCCCCCGGCCCCCGCCCCCGTCCCTGGTCCCCTGCTGGGATGAGCCTGGAGTCCCGCCTGCGGCTCCCCCGGCCGCCGGGCGAGAGCCGGGAGCGCGGGCGCGAGCTCCTGGACCCCTCCCAGCGCCCCGCGCCCTCGGTGCCCTGCACCCCCAGGCTCTCGGGCAAGCCTGCTTGCGTCTCGCCTCCTCTCTGGCTCGGGGCCCCTGGGCTTGTTTGCTTGTCCTCATCCCGGGGCCAGCCCCGCTCCCTCCTCCCGGCTGCTTCAACAGCCGTTTGCTTCCTGCGGTGTGTTTCTTTTTTTCCCCTCCTAGGCTCCATCAAAGGTGGCTCTGTTATTGAAATATGAAGCCATTTCCTCTCCAAAACCCTTGGTTACCCAAGGTGGAATCAATGGACCTATATACTCTCCCAGGAGTTATAAATAAATGTCTATTTGTTCAGAAGGCGTTTTCCCGCGTGTCCCAGCATCTTCCCCAGCGGTTATTTTAGGGGAGCGCGCGCGCGTTTTTCTGTGTGTGTGAGCGCGCGCGCGCGCCCTGTGCTCATCTGGTTCTAATCCTGGATATGGATCCATAAGCCAACCCCACCCATCCCGTCTGCCCCTCGCATTCCTCGCTCTATAAATAAATCCAGGTTCTTTGAGCTCTGTCATCCAGGGATACAATAGCAGTTGTTTGTTTGTTAACGGAGATTCAAACCTAATATCGATACCGAGTCCAGTAAACAAAAAAAATACTCTTCTGGCAATGTGGGTGGAAGGGCATCTTCAGTTTAGGCAGCTTTGTCTGCTGTTGCCATAATTGTCTCTCTACCTGGTTACCCTGGATCTACTTTGGGGAGAGGGAGGCGGGAAAGCCAGGACTCTTCCTACCCTTGGATTTTCCTTTTAAGCAGAGACTAAAAAACAAAGCGAAAATTCTCTCTCCTGGCGTGTCTGCCTCACACCGCTGCCTCACGGATCATTCCACAGACCCCTTGCCCCATCCGCTCTGGACAGACCCAGGAGTGGCGAGGGTGCAGGAGGAGTGGTGTGGGTGGGGGCTTGTGGTTGTAGCTGCCGCTTTCCCTGAAGCCCCGAGCGGGACACTCGGGCATCTGAGCAGAGGGAAAGTCGTCTAAGAGGCTGCTGTTTCACAAGGTCTGGGTACAGAGCTGCCCCTCCCTTCCTCCCTGAAGTGTGCATGAAGTGCACGTTAGGCTGTAATTAGGGGATCTGGGAGGAGAACTTTCCTAGTGACGCTTTGCTTTTCTTCTGCTCTTGGTGAGAAAGTGCCTCCTTCTTCCCAGGACCAGGACCTCTGCCATCCAGCGCCACAAAGAGACATTCTGCACACACACACACTCACACACGCACACACACACTTGCCCAGAGACAAACTTAAGGTGAGGGGGAAAAGCGCTAGCTTCACTTCATCTCCGGGCTCCAACTTCAGCAGGACTTGAGAGCATCTGCGCTTCTGGATTTCAGAACAAGGTAAACTTCCCACAAATTGTTTCCTCTTTCGGTCAAACCTTGGTGCCTTAAAGATTTCAGAGAGCAATACATATCATGATATATGTATACATTTAAAGTTTTTTTCTGACTATTTTCTTTTGAGTTTAACATATCTCAAGTTTTTTTAAAAAAAGATTCATATTGTCAGAGAAAATACTGTATTGCTCAGTGTAGAACTGGGGCAAGGATTAACTCGAGCATCCTGGCTTTTGCTAGCAGTACTATAAATCTGGGAGGCGCATGGTTTCCAAGCGGTGACTTTTCCATCTGTATTTCAACAAGCATTTTTATAGCACCTGGGATGAAGAAAGGAGAGCAGAGGCTGAAAATGGGAATGCCCACTGCAGATTTATGAGTTTTGCTTTGGGGAATATATAGGTGTATGTGAAAAAGAAAGTTACCATAATCCTAGGTGATACCTGTTAGATTGATAATCTTTGAGATGTTACCAATTTTGGTCCAGGCTTCTCCAGTTAATTGTGGAATTACGATAGTAGCATTATGATCCATTTCATATCTAGAATCATGTTGACAGACAGTTTTAATGTGCTGAAAAAAATTTTAAAGCCATAGATGTTAAGATTCTTTAAAAAGTTGCTTAAAGGAATTATTTATGTGTTGAGTTTGTTCACCACCCGAAGCAAATCTGAACTCTTTGGGGCTTAAATGAAGTTGTTTTTCTTCCATTGAATATGACTGTTGGGTTCACAATAAGATGGTTTGTTATTTTGAAAATAAGTTATTTTATTTTCATTTATCACTGGAAAAATACACAAAGTGGCCAGGACATTTGGGAATTTTTAGGATGGAAAGTGTTCCTGTACATGTTCCAGCGTGATGTCATAGAATCAGACATACTGGCTGGCTTCTTGGAAGCTAACGGTTCTTAAGAAATAAAGCCTGTGAGTTAATTTCTAAGTGAAATGTAATATTTATTCATTACAAATGGAGTTTCTGGTAACCATTTCTACTTGATTATTTCAGTGTACTAAATTTGCTGTAGTTTTATACACACTTTAGTGACTTCAATATTTTAATGGAATCATAAAATGGGCATATTGTTCTACCCCAAATATACCATAGTAGTTCTCTTTGGATAACTTTTAGGATGATACTTCTTAATCCTTCCCATCAGTTTTTAACTTCAATTCCATCTATTTCTACTAATAAAGAAATTTTTCCTTCCGTTCAGTAAAAATGCCAAAGGTCTATTAAGCATTTCATCTTTAGTCTTTAGTCACTTTTGGGGTATCTGCTCTTAATAATTTAATTGTTTAAGCTAAGAGAATAACGACATTTTTTTCTAACCTCTTCGTAAAATTGGAAACAGCTTGAAAATGGGAAAACTAGATAAGGAGAGGTAATTTTGCCTAAACTTAATTAAATGAGCAAAAGAAAACCAACTTCAAGAGGTCACTGGTCCCCAGGGAGAATGTACCCAGAGGCCAGCATACCAAACAGGAGTGTCCAGTGGGCCTGGGCTTTCCATGTGAAACAAGAATGAGGGGAACAGCATGTTCTTATAAAGTGAGTCATTTATTGTCAGCAAGGTGCTGTCCTCAGAGGAATGACTGACACAGGAATTTAGAAAGACTGAAGAGACTTTCACAGAGAAGAATCAATCCGTTATATTCCTAGCGGTTTTACTTCCTTTTCCTTCCTTTGGGAGTAAGTACCACATCCAGGATAAATACGTTCAGAAGACGCAGAAAGATGCTTTATGAGTAGACAGACGGTCTACGAGACAGTCCTGCCTTTTAGCATCTTGGACGTGGAATATTGGTATTTTCTGAGTAGTTGAAGTAGTCTTTAAATCTTAAGGCAGCACTGTACTTTGTAAAGATGAACAAGAGTCGTATTCAGAAAATGCCTCCTTTTTCCAGAAAACACTAGTACTAGTTTTCATTTCCTTTTGCCCCATGCATGTTTTATTTTCCAGATTACATTTTTAAGATAACGGTATTCCACCAATTAAATTCCAATGAAATGCAAAGCAACTTAAAACATAACTTTCACATTATAGTCTTCTGTTGCCTCTAGTTAATTTGCCAACATCCTGGATTCATTACTAGTAACCATAGTACTTAGTCTGTGTTATTTAAATGTACTTAGTCTGTTATTTAAAGGTAACAAAATGCTGTTGGGGGGCAATGGGGAGGGATGGAAACCCGAATATACTTAAGATTTTAATCAATAGTGTTTAGGCGGATTAGAGGAAACAGCTGGCTAAACAAATATTAGGTGTAGAGTGGACGTGATGTTATAAATTAATAATGCAGCTCTTTATTGATACCATGAATGGCAGGGTCTGTGATGGTTCAACATGGGAAACACGGTCCCTGTGTGCCACCTAGTGGATGAGTCAAAGAAGGCTTTCTCACCAGCCTCTTGCTAAAAAATTCAGACTTCCATTCTACTGATATTGAACACTAAGTACATGCCAGACTTTGGGGTAGGTGTTCAGAGTTGAAAATACAGCAAGTGATTTTTATATAATTTAAAAATCAAGGCACCACTTAACAGTTGATTAAATTCCCAGTGGTTGCATTCAAAATCAGGTTACTCTTTACTGGGTAATTTACCATCAACTTTCTGTCTCCATGAGGATATAGTTTAATAACCGTAACTTGCTTCTCATATAGGATTTGTTTTTTACAGAGATGTCATGACCTAGTTCAAAACAGGGCGGACAGAGTTTGAATCTTGAATCACCTTCTCAAATGGAAACAAATTTCTGTAAAGTTTATAGTTACTGATTTTGAATGGGCCAATAATTATCAGCTTGAAAGGTTAGTACACACACACTGGCACATATTATTACATATTCTTTAGATATTTTTTCATTAAATGTAAAAGGATAGCAGTAAAAATTGCTTTGGGGTAGTGAAGTATATTTCACAAAATATTGCTCTCAAAGACTAATAATTAGCATGTGGAACAACTTCGTCTACACCTGTTGTTCACATGCAGTTTTGAAGCAGGAACAGCACTTCCATTAAATTGACATAATAGAAAATAACCCTAGGCAAGAACAATTACAAGAAAAGCCACTGTTTGAAAGAAGCATCAGGATACCATAGAAGATTAATCCATTGGAATACTGCACTGGGAGTTTTGAAAAACTTTTCATCAGGAGATGTATGAATTATTTCTCCAATTGGCTCTTTGCAAGATATATGACTTAATGGCGACAGTGTTCAGCACATCGGCATTAATCAAGACGAGTTCTGAAATTCAGGTTGGGAGGTAAAATGCCTCAGTAGGAGAAAAAAATGATTAATTTGTTACTTGCTGAGCTGAAGAGGTATAATCCACAAATTGAGTTAAGCCTGCTGATGGGGAATGGAAGTTTCCTATCGAGGGGACTTTGGTTTTTTGTTTGACAGTGAGACCCACCCGGTGAAAGAAGGAGAGCTGCTCATTAAGTCTTTTTTCATTAATGCCACAAAATTATAGCCTGTATTGATCAGAGGTGATGGCTGGAAACACTATCAATCATGTAAAGTAAAGCAAATTATCTTAATTCTTATTTCCAATAAGTCATCATGCACCAGAAACAAACCATTCTGTTAACAATTTTATCTGATCATCCTTGTGATTTAGGATGAATCACAGACTCATTCTAGTGAGGAAAATAATGAGAGATTCCCAAAAAGTCAGAGGTCCTGAAGGTAGAAATTTAGTCATAAATTGGAAAATGGTTCCAAGAAGTTTGAATGATTTCAGAGACTTGATACCAGGCAAGAACAAACTCTTCAAGAAGGAGCCAGCCAAGCTCTCTGAAATGGTCTGCTGCTGCTGGGCTCTTGGTTATCTTCTAGTAGCTTCACATAATGGCTTCTCCCAGAGGTGGAGACCTGCAGGGGGCTTGCTGGTGTTGAAGATACAGCTATGAAGTGAGGATATAACTATGTTCGGATAAAGCCAGGATTTGTTTAAAATATCAAATGTTGCTGGACTACTTTGAGCTTCTGTTCATTGTTTTATAGCTTCACAGGGGGCGATGGAGTGATGGGGGTATAGCTAGGAGGCCAGGAGGCTATTTGCAAAACAAAAACAAAACAAACTCAGAATAAAAATAACTCAGAAAACTTACGAAAGTTTTAGTTGGGTCTCAGTCTTGAATGAGCAACAGAAGTTTCCCCTTTTGTCCAACATAGCTTAATCCGGAGAGAACACATTTTACTTGGTTGGTTACTAGCTTCCAATTACTATATTCCAATTACGTTTACTGTATTAAATAAAGTCCAATTAAGTTAAATAATATTCAAGTTATTTTTAAGGTAAATCTGGATTTTCCTAAACTTTTCACAAAGTTTTACGGATAATATCTCATTTGATGTTGATATTAATATTTGATATTGACATTGATGAAATGAGGATTACCTCATTTGATCATTCCTGCGTTCACTTGTTCATTCAACGAAAATTTATTGAACACTTGCTGTTTACCAAGCACTGTTCCAGCATTATGTGCTGGACCCCTCACTTTACACCATGCAAATTCATTCTAAAAATATAAGAAAGTCAAAATTGATGATAATGAATCTAAAATGTTGCAAGATCCTGAGGTACACATTGAGTAACAGAAACAACCAGAAAGTTCTAGCCTTGTGGTTTTCATATTAAGAGAATTTTGAGGATGCATCTTTAAAATTATTTGCCCTTATTTGCCTTCTTCAGGCTGAGTGGATAAGAGCTTTGTTTCTTGGTTGCATGGGCACAGATGGGCCTGGGGGGGCAGCTCTGACACTCCAGAACCCCGGGAGGGCTAGTGTTCCATTAATCAGTCTCCTTGGATGGATACGAAAAGCTAAAATTCATTTGCACACAGTTGCTGTCCACCAGTTTGCCACTAAAATTCAGATTGTGCACAGAATGATTCAGTGCTTACCATTTGCACCAGGCATCACGCTAGGTGTTGCAGAGTAATTGGCTCAAGGAGTTCACAAGCTGGTGGAGAAGACAGATGGATGCGC